AAGAAAATGTGGCATATATATACCATGGAATACTACATAGCCATAAAAAGGAATGAGATAATGGCATTCACAGCAACCTGGATGGAATTGGAGACTATTATTCTAAGTGAAGTAACTTAGGAATGGAAAACCAAACATCATATGTCCTAACTCATGTGGAAGACAAGCTATGAGGACACAAAGGCATAAGAACAACACATTAAACTTTGGGGACTCGGGGGAAAGGGTGGGGAGTAGAGAGGGATAAAAGACTACATGTTAGGTGTGGGGTACACTGCTTGGGTGATGGGTGCACCAAAATCTCAGAAATCACCGCTAAAGAACTTACTCAAGTAACCAAACACCACCTGTTCCCCAAAAACCTATTGAAATAAAAAAATTAAAAATCGTAAAAAATTAAATTAAAAAAAATAAAAAATATTTGGGGGAAAAAATAATTCTGCCACTATATTATTGTTATTCTAAGAGAACCACTGTTGTCATTTGCACCAGTGTTTTTTTCTTCAGATATGTTTTACAAAGCTGTGATTGTAATGTGCATACATTTTTAAGACCTGTTTTTTTATTGACACACATCAAGTATTTATCTGAAGTTCCCTATAATCTTTATAATCATTATTTAAAATAATAGCATAAGGTTGGGCATGGTGGCACACAACTGTAATCCCAGCACTTTGGGAGGGCAAAGTAGGCTGATCCCTTGAGCCCAGGAGTTCAAGACCAGCCTGGGCAACATGGCAAAACCCCATCTCTACAAAAAAAGCCAGGTGTGGTGGTGTGTGTCTGTAGTCCCAGCTACTCAGGAATCTGTGTGGGAGGATTGCTTGAGCTTTGGGGGACGGAGGTTGCAGTGGGCCGAGACTGTGTCACTGCACTCCAGCCTGGGTGACAGAGCAAGACCCTGTCTCATAAGTTAATAAATAAATAAAAACCAAAAGCTTCTGCACAGAAGAAAAAAAAAGTAAAATCATAGCATAATATTCTAGAGAGTGGATTATTCATGCTATGTTAATTTTTTAAATTTTATCAATAACACCAATAAATATCTTCATGAAAATAGTTTGTTTCCCATATTGAAAAAAAAATTTTAGGCCACATTCCCAGAAGTAAGATTACCAGATCAAAGGGCATTAATATATACTGGCTACCAAAATGCTTTCTTCCAAACCACACTCACTAGGAAACTGAGTACCATCTTTTGCAATTATGTTAAATATAGGCTTAAAAAAGAGGCTTACCTAATTTTTTAAATTTGCATTTCTTTGATTAGTGGTGATGAACATTTTCTCATGTTTTCCAATTGTACTTAAACTCCTTTGTAAATTGTCTATTCATGTTCTTTGTTCATATTTCTTCTTATACATTATATTGTAGAAGTGGGTTAGATAATACAAGCCTATTACACTTTGTCATATTTATGTCACATAGGCTTTTTCAGACTGTGCTTAGATTTTATCTTAAAAGTAGCCAAAAAACCTTTTAAAAGTTATTTTGGTTTTAAAATTTTATACAGTCAGATTTGATCTTTTTCTTTGTGATTTTAAAAAATTACTTTCTAAGCTTAGAAAATTCTTCCCCTTTAGAAGCTTGATAAGTATCCATTCACTCTAGTTTTTTAAACTTGCTTTTTTATATTTAACTCTTCAATCTAGCTGTCATTTATTTTAGTTTATTACAGTAGATGAGAGTATAATGGTAGAAGCTGTCACAATACCATTACTCAACAGACCTTTCAACTCCCATTTACTTGCAATGCATCCTTTGTAATAAATTCTATACAACTGGTCTCTTTGTTGAGGGTAGGTATACTACAACTTATCTGTCTAATTTTATACCAGGGTTTTTATTATTGTAGTTTTGGATGCTTAATATCTAATAGTGTTAGTCCTTCATTACTCTTCTTTTGTAGAATATTCTCTGAAAATCATTCTTTTTTAGCTTTCAAATGCAATATTTGCTGTCTTACTCCTAAGATGCAAATTTCTTGCAGGTAGAATTGGTTTTTTCCTTAGAATAGATTGCCAAGAATATTGTTACTGGGGCAACTGGTATGAATATTTTTTTCCCATTCTTAACACTTCCAAAGTTTTCAAAAGGGATTGTGTCAATTTCATTGTAATCTTTCCACCACCTGGATATTTTGAAATAAAGAATTTTTTTTTTTCAAATTTAGTCAGGGAAACAATATATCTTGCTTCAATTTCTGTATCTCTGCTTATTGGTGATGATAAACATACATTTGACATATAGTAGGTGCTTCATCAATGCTTGTTCAATGAATAAATGGCATGTATGAATCTGTACATATATTTGGGGATGGGAAGTTTAAACAAATATTGTGATTATAATAGGTAAATGCTGGCTAGATATAAGTTTGTGGCCTAAATGGCTGTAGTCCATCTACAGAGAGGTTCTAGATATGCCAAGAACACCATGAAATTCAGACCTAAATTGGGGCAATCTCTAGAGACCCTCTGTAATTTATATTCATTGCAGGAATGTCTGTTTCTATGCAGGATCAGCTGAAAGATGTTTAAAACAGTTAAGGCAACATATATGGGTATCCCCATGTCTGTGTGCAGCTCAGAAGCAGCCATGCTAGGGTCAAGACAGAGTGTGCTTCCTTTGGCAGCAAAACAGTATTAAGAAGCAGAGTAGTCCACTGGAAAATGACCCAGGCCCTAGCAGGCTTTCTGATGTAAATTTAAATGCATAATAAACTGGATCTGATTCATAGGAATGGGCCTTTTCTATGAAGCCACACTACTTTTCTTCTCAACTTGCTAAGCCCAAGAGGACCTAGAAGTCCTTCATTCAGAGAAGCTCGGTTTTCTCCTTTCACTTTGTAGCCGGAAGGGGAGAGGTTCATTTGTTTCTCCTAGCAATCATTGTCTTTATTTTGAACTTAAAAAAAAAAAAAAAAGCAGGCTAGGCACAGTGGCTCTCATATGTAATGCCAGCACTTTGGGAGGCCAAGATGGAATGACAGTTTGAGGCCAGGAATTTGAGACCAGCCTGGGCAACAAAGCAAGACTCCATCTCTACCAAAAAAAAAAAAAAAAAAATTATCCAAGCATTGTAGCACATGCCTGTAGTCTTAGCTACTTGGAAGGCTGAGGTGGGGAGATCCCTTGAGCCCAGGAGTTCAAGACTGCAGTGAGCTATGATTGTACCACGGCACTCCAGCCTAGGTGACAGAGAGAGACCTTGTCTCTAAAAAACAAAACAAGAAAGAAAGAAAGAGGCTGGGTGTGGTGGCTCATGCCTGTAATGCCAGCACCTTGGAAGGATGAGAAGGGAGGATCCCTTGAGCCCAGGAGTTCAAGATCAGCCTGGGCAACATAGGGAGACCTTGTCTTTATTTCAAAGAAAGAAAGAAAGAAAGAAAGAAGAAAGCAAGCAGCCAAGCAAGCAAAAGCTAACAAAAGGCAGCTTGTCTCTGTTTTAAAGACCATGTAAGACTCATTACTAAAACATTGATTTCTTTTGCTCTGTTGCCTAACTAGTAAATTCTAGTAGTAAACCCTTTCAAGGATTTCCTTGGCCCCAAAATCTGTCAATTTGATGGAAAAAAATTTGTGTTACTATCTTAACCTGCATATGCTGAAGTTGTGCTGTATTTTATTCTGAAAAACAAAGTGTTGTTTTCTCTTGACTCAAGAGCATCTAAAAGTATCAAGGTCATGGTTGATTGCATGAACAATTGATTTGTGAATAATGCATTGGCAGTTAACTACCACAGTGGCTTCATTCATCTCAGACAGAAGATTGATAAATTCAGAGTTTAAAAAAATCCTTCTTCCTCAGTGAAGATTAAGTACTACAGAAATATCAAAGTACCAAATGCTGAAGAAGGCCCAGAAATCCTTCTCAGACAGACTACTACCGTTAGACACATTAACATAAAACTCCAGAAGGTGGCTGGACATGGTGAGTCACACCTGTGATCCCAGCATTCTGGGAGTAGAGGCAGGTGGATCACTTCAGGTCAGGAGTTCAAGACCAGCCTGGCCAACATGGTGAAACCCCATCTCTACAAAAATACAAAAATTAGTTGGGCATGATGGCAGGTACCTGTAATACCAGCTACTCAGGAGGCTGAGGTGGTAGAATCACTTGAACCCAGGAGACAGAGGTTGCAGTGAGCTGAGATCAAGCTGCTGCACTCCAGCCTGAGCGACAGAGTGAGACCCCATCTCAAAAAACAAACAAACAAACACTCCAAAAGGACTTCTCCTGTAACTCCAAGAAGTACCTAGGAAGAGCCTTTTCACAAGCCTTTTGTCTTTGAGAGACATCTAACTGGGTTGCTACTTTCTTTACAGATGGCAGCATGAGCCCCCTTCTTGATTCTTCAGCCTTTTGTTTTAAACCTATTCTCATCAATTTCCCACCTTTTCAAAAATCTGTTTGCCATTTCTTTTAAGAACTAGCTCTAAAATTCACTTCTGCCAAGACTTCCATGATTAATTTCTTTCTACTGATAAGTCTCTTCAGCTCATACATATATTCCATTGGTACCATAACTAATGTTGTTTTCTAATTATTCTAATTTTGTTAATGTTTCTAGACTGTGAATGTTTCTAGTCTAAACATTCTAATTATTCTAATTTTGTTAATGTTTCTAGTCCCTTAAAGATGGGAATTTTTAGAAAGCTGAAAAGGAATTTAGAGACTGTCTAGTTGTATCCTTTGTCCTGTTCGTGTTACCAATGAAGAAACTGAGGCCTAGGGAGGATAATCCGTCCAAGTCAGTTAGCCAAGTTAACAGAAAAACTAGGTGTAGAGCCCAGGTGTCCTGACTTTCAACAGTGTACCTCCCACATATATATATTAAGTCATGTTTTTTCTGTTTCACTTGCATTTCTTCAGAATGCCTTGTAAACTGCCACATACACAAATGTCCCTCTATAAATGACAATACAGTAAGCATAAGAATTTATATAGTTGAGAAACTGACTAAAGGAAAGAGTCAGAAAACAGAAAGGTCATTTTCTTACTTCTTTGCATGATGCCACCCTCCAGACCAGTTAATCGCTATTTTGGACATTCCATCAATCAGGCACTGGGCAGCTGTGATTGTAGCTCCTCCTATAGCTGCTGCATAGTCAAATATCCCTTCAGTGGCTGGGCAGTCATAACCTTAAGGCAAAAATCAGAAGAGCTGGTTAAAAATCTGATGAACTGGGAAAAGAAGAGGAATAGGTTGAGGTGTGACAACATAACCTACTAAAAAGCCACTGTGCTAATATCAGCTCCAACTGATAGAAACAACTCCAATGTTTGGGATATAATTTTTTAAAAGGTTAGAGCTAGAAAGGATAAACCTTCATGATTAACTAGTCATGGGCTACAGATAGAGAAACCAAGCCTGAGAGGTGATATGTTTTGTCAGTGGTCACACAGAGCCAGGCCTGGGATCCAGCTCTCTTGACCCCCAGTTCAGTGTTCCTCTGCTTAACCATGCTGTTTTTCTAGACTATCCTGCTGGTCACTTACAGTTTAAAAAAATGCAGCTGTTTGATGAGGGGTGAGATAGAAAACTCAGCCAGAACATAAATCTATACTCCATTAAGATACAAGGTCACGGGACAGCTAAATCAGCCAATATATAGCCAGACCAGATCTGAGCACTGCCAGTAGGGCCTAAGCAACTGAAAGGTTTTCTTTCATCCGACCCATCATTTGGTTTTGCTCAACTCATATGGTTTGCTTTTTTAGTGAGTTATATGTGGCTAAACCCAAAGATTAAGATCGACAGTTAACACATGATTTTTCTTTTTTTTAAATGTTTTGATATGGGTAAGACTCAAAACACATGATTTCTTAATTAAAAATATAAAAAACCATCATACAAGTTATAGAAAAATTGTCCATCTCCCATCAATGCCTAGTAATAACTTTACCTAGCCCATATTCTATGGAGTCCGGATGATCATCATCGCCCTCTTGGCTGACCTTCTGGAGATGCTGCAGATAAGCATCAGTGTGGAAGGTGGCCATCTCCTCCATGGAGGCCACTTTGGGCTTAACTACCCTAACAATGACAGAGAGAACAAAGAGGTGAGTGAGTCAGCCCCAGTATATGCCAGAAGTTAGAAACAGAAGCCAGAAGTCTGAGCAGAAAATGCAAGTCTCAACTTCTGTTTCCAATAGGCTGGAGCAACAAACACATTCTGTTCTTCCACTGCACTGTGCAGTCTTCACTACCTCACTTCTACGGTAATGACTCTGTTAATAAGGGGCAAGAGGATAGATTTTCCCTTGAGTTTATAGGTAGGTAAACAAAAGTAATTATATTCAAATAATTATATTCAAGTTAATTATATTCAAGTTAAATAATCAGGTATCAGACGGACTTTGTGAGTTACAACTTTCAGGACAAACTAGTAGGCAGGGAAATTTTCATTTGAATCAGTTGCTAATTGGGTTATATCATCCTTTCAACTATATCTTTATTTTAATAGGCAGCTATGTTATTCATTTTGAATTTGTAGGTAGAGAATTGAGTTCCTGTCCTAACTCTGTACTTGCTAGCTCTATAACCTCAGGTAAGTTGACTGTTCTGTAGTTGAGTTTTTTCATTTGTAAAATGGGGAACTTTATGGAACTTATGTGAAGATAAAAGTATAGCATATACAAAAGTGCTTTGTGGATAACTATCATTACTATTAACGGATAAAAAATGGGCAACACAAAATGTAGAAAGTTTCTAGACTTGGTCCCTCCTATCTGCCTCTGAGAGTGAGGAGAGAAGGGGCAAAATGGTTGCAATTGGGCTTCACTCAGAACCTCTCAACCTATTCACCAAAAATGACAATAGAAGCGAGTGAGAGAATAAAGGGAGTTAACCCGAAGCCTTACCACATCTAACCTCTAGCTGCCTATTCCCCATTTCCTCTTCTAGACCCCACAGGTGCCACTACTGTTCTCTAGCCCTTGCACTTAAAGGGCGGTCTGTGGACCAGCAGCATCAGCATCCCCTGGGTGCTTGTTAGAAATGCAGAACTTCGGCCGGGCGAGGTGACTCAAGCCTGTAATGCCAGCACTTTGGGAGGCCGAGGCGGGTGGATCACGCGGTCAAGAGATTGAGACCATCCTGGTCAACATGGTGAAACCCCGTCTCTACTAAAAATACAAAAAATGAGCTGGGCATGGTGGTGCGTGCCTGTAATCCCAGCTACTCAGGAGGCTGAGGCAGGAGAATTGCCTGAACCCAGGAGGCGGAGCTTGCTGTGTGCCGAGATCGCGCACTCCAGCCTGGGTAGAAACATGAGAGAAACTCCCTCTCAAAAAAAAAAAAAAAAAAAAGAAATGCAGAACTTCAGACTTGCCTCAGACCTGAGTCAGAATTTGTATTTTAACATCATGATTTTTAAACACGATGACACATTTTATGGAGATTCATATACATATTCAAGTTGAAAGAACCCTGACCTAGGCCACAGGGAGGCAGCAGTGGTTTTAAATGTCTGCTGAATGGGAACACAGTCACGAGTTTATGATGAATTAATATGACTATATAGGCTACTTCTATCACCAAGGTAGCTAAAAGAAATCCCATGGTTTGGCCTCAGAAATGAAATATATAGCTAAGATCCAATAATTCTTGCTTCTTAAAGAGGACACATGTATACTATCAGAGGTGAAAAATCCACCCATTAAAATAAAAATTGTATATCTTGGACCATATTTCCCAGTCCTAAAAGCTCCTTCTTCTAGTAACCTTCCATTTATTTTGTTAAAAAAAAAAAAAAAAAAAACAACAAAACACTTACTGAAAGCCTCCCTATTTAACAGCAAGGAAACTGGGCAGTTGTGCTTTGTTTTGATACCTTGTCATAAAATAATTTTTTTTGAAATGTTAAATAACTTTAATGGAAGGCATACAGTTATTATGTTAACCAAACCATATTGTTTTTAAAAATGGCTTAAAAATCAAATCCCTTAAAAAGGTACAAAATGATTTTGCTAATAATAAGGATAAAATCTGAAAGCCTACTATACTACCTTCTGGGAAATAAATGAAGCATAGCACACTAGCTGGTATGGGTACTCATCTATTTGGCCAGAAAGTAATCCTATATGTGGCAGGGTTATATTTGCTCTAATAATGGCATCAAATACAGAAATGGCAATAAACAGCAAATTCATGTTTTTGAAAGAAACAGCTCTCTCTCGAGTTCTGGCTCCCTTCCCCCTCCCCCATTTCCCTTCCCTCCTCTCCTCTCCTCTTCTCTCTTTCTCCTCTTTCTTTCTCTTTCTTTCTTCTCTCTCTCTCTCTCCTCTCTCTTCTTTCTTTTCTTTCTTTTTTTGATGGCGTTTCACTCTTGTTCCCTAGGTTGGAGTGCAATGCCACAGATCTGGGTTCTCTGCAACCTCTGCCTCCCAGGTTCAAGCAATTCTCTCCAGCCTCAGCCTCCCAAGTAGCTGGGATTACAGTAGATTCTGTAAATCTACTAAAATCCGGTAATCTAAAAATACAGTTCAGTTGCTTGGTTAAGTATTCCAGGGGTAGGTGCATTGCGGAGATTTTAAGGTAAGTACATTTGGGTACTAAACCTGTCTGATACAAAAAGGTGTTCAGCTAGGAACAGCTATTTTTCTTTTGATTTTTTTTTGTTGTTGTTGTTGTTGTTGTTTGTATTTTTAGTAGAGACGCGGTTTTACCATGTTGGCCAGGCTGGTCTCGAACTGCTGATCTCAGGCGATCCGTTTGCTTAGGCCTCCCAAAGTGCTGGGATTACAGCTGTGATCCACTGCACCTGGCCCCCCAAGTTTTCTTAGTTCTTCAAGAACTTTCTTGTGATTACAGGCAAATTACAAACACTGTGAATACCCTCACAGAACGCTAAAGTATTTTTTTTTTAAGAAGACCATTCTTGGCCGGGCACAGTGGCTCAAGCCTATAATCCCAGCACTTTGGGAGGCCGAGGCGGGCGGATGACGAGGTCAAGTGATCAAAACCATCCTGGCCAACATGGTGAAACCCCGTCTCTACTATACAAAAATTAGCTGGGCGTGGTGGTGCACCTGTATTCCCAGCTACTCCGCTCAGGAGGCTTGAGGCAGGAGAATCCCTTGAACCTAGGAGGCAGAGGTTGCAGTGAGCCGAGATCGTGCCACGGCACTCCAGCCTGGCAACAGAATGAGATTTCGTGTCAAAAAGAAAAAAAAGAAACCTCATCTCTACTAAAAATACAAAATTAGCTGGGCGTGGTGGCGCGTGCCTGTAATCCCAGATACTGGGGAGGCTGAGGCAGGAGAATCGCTTGAACCCGTGAGGCAGAGGTTGTGGTGTGGGCCGATATCCAACCATTGCATTCTAGCCTGGGCAACAAGAGAGAAACTCCGTCTCAAAGAAAACAAACAAACAAACAAAAAAACAACCATTCTTTTTCTTGCCCCACTGTGAAGGAGGATATTAAGGCAACTGACACCTAGCTTCAGAGCTATGTTCAAGAAGGACAACTTACCTCATTTGCTTATGCAGTGCATATGCTTCAATCAAAGAATGTACCATACTGGCCTAAAAACATCAGCGGAAAAAAAAAAAAAGGCAGAAAATCGTCTCTTAAAAGTTTAATTCAGCAAAATCGTCTTTAACCTCATCATCCTGAACAAAGGAACGGATTAACTTTGTTTCAACTGGTTTCCCTTTTGTTAACAGTTACAATACACTTTGGACAAAACAGATACAAAGTATCAAAATCACTAAGGTGAAAGCTACCGGGTTTAAGGCAAGTGATGGAACACCTTCCCCCTGCAGTTTGTTTTTCCACGACTTGCAGTCCCCTAGGAGTGGAAACTGCATACCCTCCCCTCCTCCGTATCCCCTCCCCCACCCTTACCTGTGCGTTGGTCGTCGCGCAGGGATATGCTGCGCTCTCAGAAACGGTATGAGAACACTTCCTTCCGATACAGCTTTAGGTATGTGATACAGCTACCCAAAATTTCTGAAGATTTTCCCCAGCCCAGTGTCGTCTCCGCTTCCTAACGCTCTTTCATCCACCACCCCCACCCCCACCCCAAAAGCCCACGGTCTTTCATCCAGACTTCTCTTACCCGTTTGGGGATCTTGGCCAGGGAGTCACACATACTGACATACTCAGGACTATAGATATACACCGGGACCAGTGACTGCCTAGTATCCTCCGGTTCCTCCGGCTCTTCCATCTTCCACTTACAACCGTTCCGCAGCCACCGTCCAGATCTGGCTTTTTTCGGACTCGGCCAGGGCTCCAGTTCCTGCTCCTCTGATCGGCCGCAGTGGTGTTCCCTGGTCAACATTCCCTCCTATTCTTCAGATCGCAGGAGACACTATCCCTGCTCCCCATCCAATTGAAAGAATGGATGGGACTTCCCAGGCCAGACTCCCCTCATTTAGTGACCACAGCTCAAGAAAAAGGGTTCGGCAGATATAAAAGTCCAAAGAGCTGTCAATTAGGATCGATTTATGGCACAAATAAGTAGGGTCAAAACTAACCATCCTTGTTGCCCTACGGGGCCATTTGAGATGAAGCCAGACCAGTTTCACAGCATGCTGGGAGATGTAGTTTCCAGCGGTTTGAGCAACGGAAGAGCCTGGGCGAATCACTAAAATAACCGCGATTTTGAGTTTTAGCGCTAAGACACACACACACACACACACACACACACACACACAAAGTAGCCTCAACTCTTTATGAATTGTTTCAATATGCAAACATATCCGTTTAACCATATAAACACAGATACAATGTGGCCACCTAGAGCCCCCACCATCCAGCTACATCAGCTACTTATTTTAAGGATAGGCCTTTTTTTTTTTTTTTTTTTTTTTTTTTTTTTTTTTTTTT